CCCCCCCTGATTTTCCCTTCATCTCTTAAAACAAACTTAAGCCTCTTCTATCTTCTAAACTCACTTCCACCCTCAACAAATTAACGTAGTCACACACGCGCACACCCCTCTTCTCTCAACAAATTCCCCTTATAAGCACGGTAAGTTTATTCTCTCTTAGTATTTCTTTTTCTCTCTTGTTTTATGATATTAAAAATATAGCATATACTTGTTAGCTTGTTATGGCTCTACAATGGTGGAACATGGTGAAATTGATCCCAAGCCTTTTCCCCCCTACTTGTTCTGATTATTGATAAGGGGGGTGTTTCACGCTCAATTCCCAAGCCAATTTGGGAGGGTGAGGTATTTCCTCACTCACAAAAATACTCACAGACAAATTTTTCATGCTAAGTGTTTGATGAATTGCCTCAAAGGAAATTCATGTTCCCATTGGAGCCCGAATCTCCAAGATTGATATAATTCTATTTTGAGAAAATGCTTAGCATAAGAATTAAGTGTAGGGTGGATCAATGAAGTCGGGTAAGTGTTGAAAGCGTTACATATAATTCGTGGTTCCTAGTGTCGCCCTAGTTTTTTAATGCTAATGCGCTAAATTTAAACAAATAAAACCTGAGTAACTTGTGATTATCTAGTTAGCATATGTTCTTTAAAGTGTGGGGCCATTCTGACACGTTTATGCTCTCTTTCTTGGATCGCTAAACTGATTCAGGTACTTTGAAAAATGGTTCGCCAAAATCCAGTGCAGCTAAGGCTAAGTATTTGGATCAAAGCAAAGCTCTGCCTTAGGCTAAGACCTCCACTTCAACACCACCACCTAAAAAGAGGAATCACACTGAGGCTGTATCTAGTGGCAAGGTAAAAGGGAAGTAGTCGGCCTCCACATCAGCTCCAGCTCAGTCGCAAGAAAAGAAGTAATATCTCTTTGATACCAAGCATGTTCGACCCTACAGGAAGGCATGATACAAGAAGTTTCGCGCAGCCAAGTACACCCCTAATACGGCTATTGGTGAGAATACTTTGTGCGAAGTATAACAACATATGGGAAGTCGTGCATAATATGGAGTGGGGCTTTGTGTTCAAAAATTTGAGAGAGGAAAATGTGAGCATTATTAGAGAATTCTACACTTCTTGGCATGTTGGTGACCCAGAGAATTTGGTATCCATTCGCAGGAGGTTGATTATATTTTCACTTGGTGCATTGTGCAAATTTCTAAACAATCATGATTTCCCTAGCGTGATATTGTATGAGTTCATTGGACACCCTATTTATCAAGATATTAGATGCACTTTAAGTGTTATCAATTCAAATGTTGCGTGGATGCATAAGAAAAAAGGGAGAACGCATGGTACTATGCCAAATGTGAAGTTTTTTGAAGGCCGTGAAAGGTGTGCTTGAAGTTGGTGAATACAATAATTTTACCGTGTGATCATGATACATATATTTTGAGGGAGCGTGTGTGCCTTGTCTATTTCTTGATGATTGGGCAGCCCGTGAATGTGGGCTATTTGATGCGCGAGCAGATGGAGTAGACAAGAGCTGGCAAGCTCTCTAGGATGTTCTTTGGCAATGTACTGACCCAGTACTTAGGACTTCAAAAAGTGTCTTGAGGATCTGGATTGTGACGTCATTATTCTGGCAAAACCGCGAGCTACTGACATCACTAGTATACATGGGCAAATGAGGGCGTAGCTGATACTTTGACTTCTATTGAGCATCATGCTCGGAATGAAGCTTTATGACTTAGTTTCATGAGCAATTTCTGCCCAACATTCATGCACAACAGTTGGTTAGCATTGGGTTTGGCTGAGGAGTGCCTCCAGAGAAGGAAATAAACACTCTCGAGTCATCTGTTCATGAGGACGCTGCTAAGGAGGAGGCGGATGATGCCACGAATGATGAGGATGCTATTGATGATGGATTTGAGTTGGCTGAGAAGCCGGATAGAGCGTTCTTCATGGACGGCTCTGAGTGGCAGGGATTTCCTTTTTACACCCTTACTAGTTTTATTTTTATTGTGCATTGAGAATACTACACTCTTTAAATGTGAGGTAGGAAAGTTCTCTCGGGTAGATAGTTAGTAGTAATATTATTAGCTTATTAATTTTTGGCATTTGCTTAGTAGTATCATTGGTTTACTAGCTTAGTAGTAGTAGTTTGTCGCAGTATAATGAATTTTGGAAATAAATTCAACTAAAAAAAAATCTCGACAATGGATCTCTTTGACAATCTTCTTTAGAGCTTAAAGTAGAATCAAAAACAAAAAAAAAAACTTGGAAAATGAATGAATACAAAATATTTTATTTCTTAATTCTTTTTTAAGTAGTAGTAACGTGCGGTAATGACCCCACTTGTCACGACCTAAAATGCACTAAAGGTCATGATGGCGTCGGACACCGCTGTCAAGCAAGCCAACCAAGCTACTTAATTAAATTCTCCTTTTAATAATTTTGAAAACTATAATTTTCCTTCAATTTTACCAGTAAAAGATAATCGCTTTAAGTCAAATATAATTGTTAAGAAGTTAATACAAGATACCCCATGATTCTCCCAGAACCCGATGTCACAAGAGCATGAGCATCTACCAGTGAATGAAATAAAATACAGTGACTATCCAGAATACAAGAGGACAGAAATGAAAATACAATACAATACTCTGAAGGAGACTCTGTTGGTTGCGGGTCGTCTCGATAAATGCAACTCACCTAATTTTCCGTATCAACCTTGCCGCTATGCCACTAAGCCACTAGCCACATATGAACCTGTGCAACAAAAATGCATTGCAAGTGTAGTATGAGTACGAAAACAACGTGTACCCAATGAGTATCTCCTCTAATCTCGAAAAAGTAGAGACGAGAGGTCAATTTCGACACTTACTAGTGGTACAATAGTAATATTATTAATGCAATGAATCACGGATTTATTAAGAACAATAGTAAAACAAATAAGTCACGAATCAGGTAAAAGCCCCTTTTATCAAAAGTCTTCGGATTCATAATCCATTAATTAACAATTATCTCAAGTCGGGGAGAGCAAATATCAATATCAATAAATCTCAAGGCAAGCAATACAAGCATGCACAAATCATGCCGAGGACGTACGACCCGATCCAACAATATTTAAACTATGCACTGTCAGAGGGTCGAATGACGCGAACCATAGATGCATCTATTTAATCTGCCGAGGCGTTCGGCCCGCTCCGAAATTAAGCACACACAGACAGTCAATCAAGAAGTCAATAGGGAACAATTATCCAAAGGAATGCCAATTCTCTTTTAAAGATTTTTGAAAATGAAGTTTAAATCTTTTTAGAAATTCATTTACTAATCCAATATGGTTTAAGCAATTTAAACGGTCATCAAGGTTACAAGTATTCCAAGTACAACATGCTTTTGAGTCCTAGAGTACTCGGACTTACACATAATAGTAGCTACGCACGGACTCTCGTTACCTCATGTGTACGTAGTCCCCACAAATAGGAGCACATAACCAATTATTTCACCTACGAGGACAATTCCCTCTTACAAGGTTAGAAAGGAAACTCACCTCGCTCCGAAGATCCATAACCGGCATTCCATGCTCTTCCGAAGACTCAAATCGATGCACAATGCTCCCAAAACTAGCCAATAATTATGCAAATCCATTAATATATGTTCAATTACTCATTACAATCCAATTTATAACAATTCCTAACCCCGATCGAAAAGTTGACAAAATTGCCCTCGGGCCCACGAGCCCGGATTCCGAAATTTTTCAAATATAAAGTTTACACATGAACTCACGAACTCAAATATATGATTTTCTCTTAATTTATACCCAAAATCGTGGTCAAATTCCAAGAATACGAATTTTCTAGGTTTCCCCTCAAACCCCAAGTTTTTACCAAATTTTCATGCTCAAATCCGCACGTAATCAATGTATTTAACTTAATATAGGTGGGGTTAGCTTACCTTGTCGCTGATGATGAAAACCCCCTCTTGAAACCCTCCAAGAATCGCACAAGCCAAGAGAAAGATGAAAGAAAATGGCCAAATCCCGACTTTAAAACAACCCACTGCCTCCAGCCCTTTCCGCACCTGCAGTCTCTTGACCGCTTCTGCGGTCTCACAGGTGCAAACCAAACGCCGCTTCTGCGGTCCAGGGCTCCCAGCACATTTCGCTTATGCATCCTTTCCTATGCAGATGTGGTCCCGCATATGCGGTAAAACGACCGCATCTGCGGTCCCACCCTAGCCGTCCATGTCCGCTTCTGCGGCTCCGCACCTGCGGCCCTAGTCTCGCAGGTGCGGTTACACCAGCAACCAACAACTTCAGCCCTTTCCAAAATGCCATTTTCGATCCGTTAACCACCCGAAATCCACCCGAGGCCCCCGGGACCCCGTCCAATCATACCAACCAGTCCCATAACATATTAGGACTTGTCGAGGTCTCAAATCACATCAAACATCGCTAAAATCATGAATCAACCTCCAATCCAAGCTTAAATGAATTTTAGAACTTCAAACTTCTACATTCGATGCCGAAACCTATCAAATCAAGTCTGATTGACCTCAAATTTTGCACACAAGTAATATTCGACATTACAGACTTGCCCCAACTTTTGGAATTGGAATCCGATTCCGATATCAAAAAGTCCACTTCCGATCAAACTTCTATAAAGCCTTCAAATTTCTATCGTTATCCAAATGACTCCAAAATGACCCACGGACCTCCGAATTCACTTCTGATCACGCTCCTAAAACCAGAATCACCATACGGAGCTATTCCTAGACTCGGAATCCCAAACTTATGAAATTCTTACAAAATACTAACTTCCACAATAGGTGCCAAAATGCTCCCGAGTCATCTAAAACCCAATCCGGGCGTACGCCCTAGTCTGAAATTATCATACGAACCTACTGGAACCTTCAGATCCCGATTCCGAGGTCGTTTACTCTAAAATCCAATCTTAGTCAATTCTTTCAACTTAAAGCTTTTGTAATGAGAATTCTCTTTCCAAATCAACTCCGAACTTCCCGGAATTCAATTCCGACTGTGCGCACAAGTCATAATACCTGAAGTGAAGCGCTCATGGCCTCAAACTGCTGAACGACGCGCTAGAGCTCAAAACGACTGGCTGAGTTGTTACATTCTCTCCCACTTAAACATACGTTCGTCCTCGAACGTGCTGAGAACTGTGCTGGAGTTGTCCGAGATCACTGTTTAACACCTCGAGCACCTACCCGTGCTACCATAACTCAGTTGGGCACCCTAGCTCGATCAATCTGAAGATACCCTTTTTCACTTAGGCAAATAAGCCTTAGAGCCCAATTCCAACATCCGGAATTCTCTGCCAATCCTGTTCCAACATACGCTCACCGAATCAATAACTGCACGCAACACCAAAACATGACTGCATACCTTATCTGAATTCACACCTTGCACCACTTTACTCATAGGACCAAAATAATATTCTCTGATCCATTTAGTCGAAATTCCATGAATCTGATGCTCCCATTGCACCTCATGACATACATAGGTCTTGCTCTAGCTCTTACAATGCCGCCACAATGGAGGAGATGTGTAGAAATTTATAACCAACTGTTGAATCAACAAATCATTGGGTCTATACTCCTGACAAGAACCATTACCTCATTCTAAACCAAATAATGGTCTTAGCTCCTTAATATACTTCATATAATCAAATTGCACTGATCCTAAATCCAATGATCTCGTCTCACCCAGTACGAACTGCTCAAGCAATAGGCCACCCCGGACATGATCAAAAGTCTCATATGATGCCATGATGCGCCAATAGGCTGCCAATTCGAACACAATACAAAAAGAAAACGAACTCTGGAAGGGACTACTCAACTCGCACAACTAATATGAACTTTCCTCAGAAAATGGGAAACAAACACACATAAGATGAAGTATGAAAACTGTATTCAACATCACACTGTTGCGGCGCGCAACCCGATCCAAACAACATATCCATGGCGGTGTGCCACCCGATTCACACATAAAATTCACCTAAGGAGGTGCACATCGAGCTAAATTGCTCATTACAACAAAATACCGAATATCGGTCACAAGCACGCTAAGTGCATAATACCATCTCTAAGGGGACATATAGCGCTATAAGCTACAAAACTCAAGCACAACTGAGGTGCGATATATGATCTGAATCTCAAGAGCCATTTTGCTCATATAACATCATCTCTACGCGGAACCTCAACACATAAGCAATTCACCAAGCCGTCTCATAACTCACACGGCGCAATATATCATTACATGAAATAACTGACGGCGAAATAACAAACTGACTACTTTTCCATAAGGAGTGCATTACTGAGATGAACACATCTGGCCTGATATAGAGCCCATATTCACATTTAAATCCATCCACAGACCTCAAGCTGATTCTGATCGCACTGAACTAGGCTAATAACCTTTCCAAAGTCCATAATAACTCCCCTTTTTCTCATAACACATAAGAACAACCATCATAACCGGAGTAATCATCCACAGTCCACAACCCAATAAATCAAGTGCCCTCCAGGCATCAATTCCCAAATTAACGATATCACCACAATCTTCATACTTGGTTTAACTTTTCAATCAATCAAGTGACTACATGCCACACTTATACAACCTTCCCATGGGGCACGCTCCTACAACCTTCCGTGATAGATAACAGGTATGTACATCCAAACCACCGGCAGCACTAACGCTAAAAAGCGATCAAGAATCCTTAACCAGGATGCAAAGCCTTTTTCACCAAACACCGATCTCAAGTGACGCTAAGGACAATACCAACTTACTTTAAATATCTAGACTCCTCTCCTACTCATCCGAGCTAGTGACATCCTTGTCAACGCCTAACTGCAACCTTGATCCTGACTTCAAATTCTATACCACTCACTGCACCCAACATGCCAATATACGATAGAACATGATTTTTATCATAACTCCGGAACCACTAATAGATTAACACTTCATCATTTAAAAACTTTTCACTTAACTCACTTCAGTAGAACCATAGCAACACACATGTGAATTCTCATATTCGTAGAATATGCAAATCTCTAAGTAGTGGTCTAAGCAACCATAGCCCTTCTGGAATCCGCCTAC